GCCCCCCCCCCCCCCCCCCCCCCCCCCCTTAACCCGGCCCTGGTGTTACCCATATCCTCTTCCGGTTGACGCCCATCATGAAATCAGATAATTTCAAAGTTAAACGAATATGGTGCGTGTCACCCTTTGTCTTTTATCGCACCGAGATTTCAAAGCATTCAAATCACCACGCCAATGAACATCAGCAATATTTTACTTATTCGATTAACTTTACAGCAAAAGTCGTCCATCCTCGAGTGAAAAAAATACGTTCTTTAACAGGCACCCACATAATTGAAATGTTATAATTGAATATGCGTGTTCGAAAAGCCTTAACCAACATGAGTTTGAATGAAATTTGATGACCGTAGCCTTTTCGGAGAGGGGCTGTGTCTACCCTTTATTGGTGGCCACTAATTTTCATTTCCCAGTTGTCGCTATGGAACTGTGTCCCTAAAAAATGTCAAGTTTTCCAGCCAGGAAGCCTTTCTTTTTCTTGTGTGCGTGCTCTTTAGCATAACTTAAATGGCTATTGGCTTCCTGATATGTTCCGGAAGAGCCATGTAATCGAACATACAGGGTGTTCACAAAAGAATCATACAATGTTTATACTAAAATGCGCTTTTCTCTTGCACGGACACCATCTAACTAAATTACAGACTGCGTAATAGCATACCAATATGCACTGTCTGTGCTGTTACGCAGTCTGTAATTTAGTTAGATGGTGTCCGTGCAAGAGAAAGCGCATTTTAGTATAAACATTGTATGATTCTTTTGTTGACACCCTGTACAGTCTTTTGTCCTCTTGAGTTCAACTCCTGAGGCTTCCGGATTCGAAGTCATGGACATCTGTATGCACATATGTAAGTAGGAGGATACGAGCAATTTTTTGTACTCTTCACCCTTGTTTAAAGTTGGACGTTAGTGATTCCGCGAAGCGTCAAGTCGCGGAAAGGTTCTGTCTTCACAGGTTCAGCCTCTCCCATTTCTCTAATCCTCTGCATATTCACCATTTGTGCCTGCTCGTTCCGGAAGAAAGTTCGCAACTGAAGTATTTGGAATTTTCCTTTTTTCTGAGTGTTACTTTCTCGCTTCGAAAGGTGATGGAACATTCGGTAGGCTCATGGCGCTCTCAGTGTGAAGTTGTCATTGGCATTATCACTGAGGCTGGGATTCTCATGGAAATGCATGTTTTTTCTTAAAGCCGTATATTTCTCTCACTCATGGAGGCAGGTCCGGATTAAGAAGGCCCGAGGCAAGTGGATTCTTGCCCCTCCCCTCCCTTAATCCGGCCCTGCATGGAGGGTACAAGTTTGAAGATGAATTTGTACCAAGCATTTAACTACATAAACGACAAATTTTTATGCATATATTGACATGATTGCATAAAAATGCATATTTTCACCCCAGTTATGACGGAAAACAAACACAATGATCTCCGAAAAAAGGTTTAAAAGCGGGTCACATGTCTTCCCAATCTCATGCGTATCCTATTTTCTCCGCTAGCCCTTCCATCTCCCCTACTCTTTCCTGAAATTGTACGTAGAAAGGGGGGCGGGGAGTGGCGACACTCGTTCCGAGTAGAAGCGCCCTAAACCTTCACCCTTCCCGAGGGGTTAAATCTTCCTTTAAGCGGTTGGTTGCTAATTGCTGCTATGAATCTAAACCGAAAGTGAACTTCTGCCTGCTTGTACGCGCATCTTCATACCTTTCAATGTCCACATTTGTGCATACTGATAACATTGATTATGCTTATTTAGCTATTCTTTGATCCATATTTCCAGGATATCTGTACATTAGAAAATCTCAGTCCCAATTATCACATTCGGAGGTGAGAGCGGGATTGATTTTACAAAATAATTAGCGATATAAAGTGAATGACTTGATGCACGATGTTTCCATTTGCACCTGTCGAGATGTATCATCCGACCAAGCGTTGTTCTGTAATGAAGACAATATCATGTCAGCATGTGGTCTTGCTTAATGAACCGAAATACGCAGCGATTGTAGGTTTTCATCTAAAAAATTTGCTTATACGCTGCAGAATTAAGAAGTACTCAATGCTCTCACAAGGTATACTTGTTAGCTGTGGCTTTCGCAATAAAAGGGCGAGTTCGAGCCCCCTCCCTCTCGTGGCCTGGCAACACTGCCTGCCCCCTCGCTCTTCATTCAACTGACCTATTGCTGAGCCTTCTTTTAGTCCTGCTATGTATTTGCCTGTTAATCTTCTCACAGTTTCACTAGGTAGGCAATCTCCTTATCCGCATAGAGCTTGGAACCATGACGTCCTGTAATCTGATAAGAAAGTTAGAGGGGGAGGGGGAAAGCGTGAAGAAATCGTCGAACCATTGTTCATTGTCTTTGAGTTCGTTAATCAAGTCAGGCCATTGTCCTCAGGAGAGCATTTCATCTCGATGGTCTCGAGTGCCGATATGCCACGTGCAGCCTTAGAGATAATGTGAAGAGTGTAATCAGTGAATAGCGTGCTCAGGTGGTGAATGAATGAATGACCGAAGTGAACGGTGTTGATCCCCCGCAGCTGAGACACAGTCGAGAGGAAGCGGGATACGTGGGAATGCGTGGGAGTGAGGGGGAAGGGATCGAGGCGTCGTCCTCGTCGTCGCCTCCACCCCCTTCAATGGCGGTGTCCTGCCGACCTCTCTCCGATGCCTCCTCCTGTGATACCGACACAATACGATTCAGGGACCAAAGACGAAGGGTGAGTCCTGGGCCTTCGGAATGTTTCCAGTCACTTGTCAAGTGACGATTGCTAGACCTTGTCTTTTTTTTTTTCAAGTTTCCGGGTGGTAAGAAACGAGACTAGTTGCCAAGAAAGTGTGAGGGGGGGGGGGCAAAGAGAGAAAGTGAGATATTCGGCATCACGCGACCTTATGCGAACCTTGCTCTGGTTTATCCCAGACCTAGGGCCGAGAACTTGGCTGTTCACCCTCTCCTTCCTCCAAAAAAAAAAAAAAAAAAAAAACTTACATTTATTCATGTCCATCATCATCCCCCCTGAGACAAGTCTTTTCTCTCTCCATGATGTAAGGTAATGGTTTGAACCCATTAGCCACGAGACCGGTCTTGTTGCGAGGTTTTGAATGCTTGCCAGTCTCGATTCATGTTTCCCGTCCGGTTTCTCTTGCTCTTGCTTCATACATGTTTATTTGAGAAAGGCTCAACGACAGTTTTATGTTCACGCTGCCTGCGCACAAAGTTTCCTTTTGCGTATATGTTTGTTTCTGGGATTTATCCAGGTTTCCCAAGGGCAGCAGCAGCAACAACAGAGGCCACTGACTCGCTATCTGCCTATCCGAAGCGAAGAGAGGGATTTCGATCTCCGTCAGCACGTTGAATCGGCAGGGCATCAGATTGAATTATGTGCTCACGTCCACGTGACGGGGACCACGTGCAAGGGATACCTGCACAAGATGGGCCATCGGTTCCGGACGTGGAACAAGAGATGGTTCATATTTGACCGGAACAAGAGAACATTGGCCTACTTCACCGACAAGAACGAAACCAAACTCCGTGGAGGCGTATACTTTCAGGTACAGCAAAAGCCAAAAAAGAATGGTAATGGAAATGTGCGGGTTTGGAGAGGGCGAGCTTAGACGAGAAAGTATTTTTCCCATGTGGAATGAAGCAGGTGTCAGAAATCCCAGGTGGGGCAACTCCGTGTGCCTACGCTTTTCCTCCGTTTTCTGCCTGTCACGCCCTCCTTTTCTCAACCAAACTGGCATACACTTATATCTTCCGCCAATTCCCCCACCCTCCTTGGTAATGGTAATAAGGCTCTTGTTTTTCCACTTGGCCTACTTCCTATCCCACTTCATCTATGGGGTGTCAAATAATGTTTTCTCCCCCCTGTGGCTGGCATGGACAACGGTAAAACAAAACTACCATGGAAGCTTGCAATAATATAGTTTTTCTCGCCCCGACTCAACTGTTTCTCTCAATGAAAAGATTTGCGCGCGCTTCATCAATGTGAGATTGACAGGTAGGAATTTTGATCCATCCTCACGAGCAGGTAGGTTTCCTGGCTACCCTAATCCCCATTCACGATACTTTACGCGAAAACTGCAAAATGCCGTAGTGAAAAATATATTATTGAAATGGACTTCTCTTTTCAAATTGGGCCAAATATATCAACAGTTTAGGTTGTGTAGAGGCTGGCATTCTGTACAACTTCCTGTGCACAAGACATACTTTCCAGAATTCAGGTACTTATTTGTGTTCCCTATTATTCACACCATCATTTCTGGCATTCCCTGAGCTCGGTCTGGTATAGGTTGATTACATGGCTGCATAGCAAAGCACTTCAAGGAATTATTATTTGTTGCATTGATGGCTGCTTCAGAAAAATTACCATCACAATTACCACCCCAAAATCTGGATGAGCCTCTTTTTTTGTTGCAGGCAATAGAAGAAGTTTACGTCGACCACTTGCAGAAGGTGAAGAGCCCTAATCCAAAAGTGACATTCTGCGTGAAGACCCTGGATCGGACATATCACCTCATGGCTCCGTCTCCCGAGGCCATGCGCATTTGGGTCGATGTCATCATCACTGGCGCCGAGGGTTACCAAGAGTACCAGTTGCATGGCTGAGCCTATTCGCGATCAAACTTGGTCTTGCATCCAAGTCGGATGTGTTTCTAGAAAGCCGAGGCGCCGTACAAGAGAGATTAGTGACTTGTCTCCGCTGGAAGAGGGGCTAGAAGCTCCAGCATCGGCAGAACGAGGCTCTTTTTTTTTTACTTCATTCGATGTCTTCCTCTTCCCTACACCTACCCTTCCATTTTTGAGAACTGTATCAGGGATCGTGTGGACATTTCTAGAATGCTGCTGAATTCTTGTATGCAGCCATGCCAAAGCCATGCTTCAGATGCTTGTGATCACGGTGCTAGATTTTAGTTGTCAACTCCTAGGTCGATGGCTTTGCCAGGGCAGTTCTTTTGTGAACCTTAGGGACAGGAAAAACTACTCACGTATTGCCATTTTTCATTCCCGATATTGAATGACTTATTTTTATCAAGCAGTTACAGTATATTGTTGTGTTTTACTATTGAAGAACAACACATTGAAGTGTTGTTCTTCTCTTGCCTTCAACCTTTTATGCTTGTCATTGTACATTTCCACCCTTGATTAAAGTGTTGGTACTGATCTTGTTCAGTACTTCAAAACTCAGTCCCGTCCTTTCCTTCAAGCCCTGGCATTGGAATTGCCTCTGAGGTTGTTCGATATCTAAGAAGGGAAGGGAAGCCAATCCCTTTCATTCTTTTTGTATCTTTTTGCCTTTGTCTCTTATCTTGGGGGACGTTAGTAGTATCCCATCTGCTCTCTTGTTGAGAACAGCATGACTGGCCTTTGCTGTTCCTTGTCCTTTTTCTAAGAATGGTTCTCTTTTCTATTCAAGTCCCTTTAAGTGCCCATGTGATTCAGAGATATGATTGATGTGGTCAGATGTCTTTGTCATCAATATAACCATAGTCAATTTTGTGAACAGCTTGCACACATGGTTTTCATTTCTGGGTGGGTTCACCATACACCTCCAAAGTTTTGGAACATATTTAAATTTTTAGCCACTTGTAATTGGTTCAGGCTATCGCTATTTGCCTTTGTGGGCTGGTGAATACATCAAATGAGCCCATACATGCAATGTTATAACAATATCCATTCACTAGTTCTTGAAATACAGAAGGTAGTTCAGAGCGTTACAGCAATAAGGGAGTACCCCCAGAAATGTATGGATACATGCGTCAAGGTTGAGTCTTGTGCCTCAGACAAGACGGCTGACACGATGTGCAAAACCAATATAATTGCATTAATCTTACCTGTTTGACACTCAGATGAGGTGCTTGAAGTGCTCACCATCATTCTGGGAACAGGCACATGACATTAGTTGAAATTCAAACATTGTATAATTCACATTCTGCTGTGACAGGGGAATGGTGAGTTCCGTCTAGCTCACTGCTTGCACTGAGTGCAGCTGGCAGCAATGGTCTGCCACAACGTTGCTTAGAATGGGCTACAGCATCAAGGAATCAATGCACTTTTATTCGAACTTTCATGCATGTGCTTATTTGATGCCTTAGTCAACCCTCGAAAGTGCACACACTAAACCAATTACAAGAAGCTACAAATTGAAAAATGTTCCAGAATATTTTGGACAGTGTGTATATATGCTATGGATTGCAGTTAAGAGCTGGATACATTCTGGTGTTTTAAAATAAATTCTGATTTAAAGCCTACACTTCATGACAATCATCAGAATACAAGTGTGTAGTGTTAGAGCATGAACATCAGGACATCTTCCATGTCTTATTGAACCTTCATAAATGTTATACTGAAAAGTTCTTTTATATCTTACTCATTGAGACCAGACATTCATAGTTTTTGTATATGCATGATAACCTGACCTATGATTTCTTATTACTCACTTTTTGACATGGAGGGTCATCATAATCTTCAAAAACATTAGTAGTTTACTATGTTTACTATCTACATAAGCATGACATAGATACACACTCATTGAGATAGCCTATTCATTTGTGGAAGTAGGCTCTTGTGACACTGAAAATAGGGGGCTGCTTTGGCTCAATGAACCTTTCAGATTTTTTAACTCAAATACTTATGTGTAGTGATGGCCTTTGGCCATCATTACACAAAAGGCTGAATGGCCTGGGAAAGCTAAAAATTCTGCAGAGGCCACCTTAACTCAAAGGCATGGATTTCTGGAAATTATATAGTGAACTTGCACCCAGGTAGAAATAGTGTTTTACTGGGGAGCAAATAACTTCTAGCTGTGAGGTGAGTGTTGGGAATATATTACTATGAAAAGGTACAGTGCTATATAAACCCTAGACATGTGAAGCAATACTGTGATCATTGAAAATTTCACATTTTTTTTTAGGGTTCCATTGGATAGAGCCTTCATGAAATAAAATGTTTGTAATCTATCCCTCTAACAGAGGGAAAGTAACTTCTGCATTTTGCATGCCTTCTACCTAACAAAAAATACCCATCTTAACTTTTTACTTAAAAGTTTCATTAACATGAATTGGCTTCTTTCATCCTTCTACTACAGTGAATTTAAGAGAACCCATCCTCATTTAATCAAAGCCTTTAATAATCTAAAATACCTCAAGCAGATACCCCCCCCCCCTTCATTTACTTTCTTTCAAGTATAAATTGTCAAAATACTCCACTATAGGAGGAAGAACTTCCCTTAACAATATTATTTTGCTGCAAATGTGAAGGTAATAGTTACTTTTTTTCAAAGTACTGGGTATTTACCAAGTAGTACTCTACAGCCAAGTTTTTAAGAGCTCCAGCTTCAGTGGGTATGATTTTTCACAAGGCAATCAGTTTTGCTACTGTGTGACTGCATTGATTGAGATTCTTAAGCATGAACCCATACATAATGTCTAGTACATGCAGTCAGGGATGACATGAGGGGGAGGCAAAGAAAACAATTTGCCTTGAGTCAAGAGAGCCAGTCCCACGTGAAGGAGGCCACCCTTGTGCCAGTTTTGTTACACTAAAGGCGATTCTGCTGGTAGGCAAGGCAACACTACAACAGGAATGGTGTGCACTGAGTTTGGTCACTCTTGGTGTTTCTGCTTTTCTTGCTGATGTTTTCACTGCTATGGTTCAGTGTGTCTGTCTTCTCAGTGCATTTTGCATTCCCTTGAGCATAATTCAGATCAGCCATATCTTCTTGTTTATATGCAACCCACTTAACACCACATGGGATGAAGGGTACTTAGGAATTTTGGGGGCTTGGAGCCTCTAGCTATGTGCTAGGTCTGGGAAGTGGTTCAAGTGGCCTGTCCAGAGTAGCCTTGTGTTGAAGAGATCCCCAATATCCACAAATATTTGCATGGCATGGAGGCAGACTTGTCCCAAGACCAGACCTTCAAGTCTTGAGGTCATTTCACATTTTATGTGTCATGCTTCCTTTGTGTCAATGCTTGGGCAGGTAGGCAGATGCACACGTGCACACGCATGTCTGCATGCATATCCCCCTAACTTCACAAAATGCAAGGCTTGCATTTTCAATCAAGTTCATCCCAATTCCACACAAGCCCTGTGTTTTGTGAAAACCCTTGAATGTAAGTGGATCCACATGTGGACATGCGTGTGCACACGTGTCTGTCAGCCTGGCTCAACATTGATGCAAAGGATGCATAACACATAAAATGTGAAATGACCTTAAACCTCAAAGTAGGGGTTTGGCCCTTTCTTGAAGCATGCACAATTTGTAAAGTTATACCAGAACTTATAAAATATTATAATAGAACTGAAGATTAAAGCTGGAAGTACATCGCATAAAATTAAATAATGGTGATGGAACTTATCTTCTCCTTCCCAAGTTGCTTGCATGTCTTTCTTCCTCCATCCTTGACTTCCTCCTGAATATAACTAGATGGGTATCCCATCCTCTTTATTGACTCAGGTCCTCTTGATGCATGAGAAGTATTGACTGAAATACTCTCTACAAAGATGTGTCTCAGGGGGTTTGGGAATTCGATCTTCCTCCCTTTATGACAGGTCAGTCCTTATCATATTTGTGACATGATGCTTAACAAATTTTGCAGTTTATCCCCACCCATTGGAATGTTCTAGATCAGGGATACACAACCTTTCTTGCCCAAGGGCCAGATAGTGACTACTGGGTACTCATTTTGGGCCAGACATTGGAGGATGCAGGACAATCTTCAATGGGATGGCATTACCAACTGAAGGATTTTATCTGGCTGTGGGCTAGATTAAGGACAGGGATGCATCGCTGGCTCTAAACAAGTATGGACTAATGCATTTAGCAGCCTTTTATTGCATAATTGGCATCGCCTAGGAAGGGTTTTTTCAGGTTTCCTAACAAACCTGTGCATTTTCAAAACAGGAATGATGGATGGATAGATGAGTCAATGGGAGAAACTTTCATTCACAGCTCCTTAGCTTCACAAGTTGTTGGCAAGACTGGTAGATGGGTATGTGGATGAGCCAACAGGTTGACAAGTAGACAGGTGAACATGTAGACATCTTGTGTCCTGCCAAGCCATCCACATCAGTCCTTGCTTGGATGCCTGTCATTCTATCACAATACTCCTGCCAATACACTGCCTTGTCACTGATCACATTGGTGATGAGGTGCTTCGAGACTAGAAAACTTAGTTCTAATTCCAACGTCTCCTTTTTTCAACATACCTAACTACTCAGTAATGTCCCAATGGTGAGAGAATGTGTTTTTAAGTTGAAGGGAATTTGAATGGGTGACATTCTCATAAAAACTCAAACTGACAGCAAGCATTCAAAATTAAAAACGACTTCAGACTCATGTCACTATATATGGATTCACATTCATCTCATTATGTTATCAGTTATCAATTTCATTTCTCTTATAGGCATGATGCTGAAAGAGGGCATAGAGGGGAAAGAGAGGAATGAGCATGCAGAATTATTTGTTCTACTTTCATCCTTGAGAGTTCCCCAACACTTGCCTACCCTTTCTATTTCATGCTTTCACATCTGCTGTTGATTCATGTAGCTTCATATGTTAGTTTATTCACAGGACCAGCATTAAATGATTAAAAAGGATTGAAGGTGGTGACTGAGGAAGGAGACACTGAATTTTTTATAATTTGGGATCCATTATCTCATGGGTTGCAATGCTATTTTAATGAAGTTTGCAGAAACCAAAATTCCAGAAGTCAAGACTGGGTTATGGCAGAAGGCAAGCCAGCATGGTGACTTTTCACCCCCCTCAGGGCTAAGTTTTTTCACAACTCTCATTAATTGTACTTCTGGACTCCTTGAGAATATAGATTGCATCTGGGAATTTCAAGTTAAAAGATATAGCCACTAAAGGCCCAAGCAATTAATTTTCCAGATTTTCCAGTAAGCTAGATATACATCAGATTTAAGTGGAATTTTTTTAATACACTCACAAAAAATCAACTATTTGACCTGTTGCTAAACTGAATAATCATGATCCACATGTCCACAAGCTTCCATTTCTTTCAAGGTGATTTTCCCATTGGGGCCCCATCTCTCGCATATGTCCTCCACTACTTTAGACAGCATCAATACAAGTAATGTAATGAGGAAGACTATTTCTTGCATGATGAGCATGGCTCACATAACATCACAAAAGAATCCTACACCTTGCTTCCATTCTATAAGAACCTAGATTTAAAAAAATTTATATTTGTGATAGGTTCAGAGCAAAGTATGCTTTTGAAGAGATATTCATAACATGGCATATCTCTATCAAATAACATTGAGAATACGAGTGTCAGGGTATACAAATCACTTTTGCTACATGATGTGATTAAACTATTCAAAACCACCTGTAATACTATTGATTCCATGATTATTCAGATATGACCACCATATTCATGCTATGGTTCAATTTCAGGTGCCATCTGAGGAACCTATGATTCCCAGACAAATGATGATGGGTGTCATCTTTGAGCACTACTGAATCAGATTATCAGCCCATTT